TTTTCGAATGAAAACAAAAAAGAAAGCAAAATTGAACACAGTTGCGATTATCGGTTTCAAAAACATATAATCTGTAAGTCAAAAACTAGTAAGTTAGAAGTAAATCATAAACTTCGCCTCTGTGTTCAGTTCTGTTTTTTTTTGTGTGTTAACTCGAAATCAGGTACTACAAAAAATCATCGGAGTGGGTTGAGTTATATATTATATTACAACCCTTGCAGTCGTTATTCAAAAGATAAATATTTCAAAACATGACCTAGTTGAGAAAAACAAAAGGTTTGAAATATTTTGAGCGAGTAAAGCGATCGAGTACCTTGAAATTGGTCAATCGAATTAGGCTTAGAAAAGTTGATTTTACTATAATGAAAACTGATTTTGGAAGCTTCATACAGCGTTTCTTTGTCTCTAAAAGTTTTCTTAAAATAAGAAAATTTTTGATTGGGCAGAAAAAAACTAGACAAAAATTTCAGAAATAACGGATTTTTTCTTTTTTTTGTCATTCATTTTTTGAAGAAAACTGTTGTCAGTTATGCCTAATTAACTAACTTTCTATGCATTTGTATAGTTATCTCATCACACACCACGCTCAAAAACACAATTTGGAGAAAAACACGGTTACTGTAGTTTTTTATGAATATGGTCGGAACATTCTATGCTACTTGCACAGCAACCGGTTATTCTTGTTAAAGGGTTGAAATTAATTGATTTTAACGGAATTTGTTCATGCGGTTTTTCAGCTTGTGTATGCAATTTGCAAGTTTGTCTTTGCATGCTATGAAATGCTCTGCGATGTTCTTAATGGCGCTAAAAAAGCAAAATATATAAGAGCTATTTTTGATACTGCTTATGTGCTCTGATACTGATAGTTTTTTTGAAGAAATTCAAAGTTCTCTGGAAGTTGACTGACATTTCGAAATGAACGCAAATTTAAGTACATCTAGCTACCGAGTTTTTCATATAATTTTATAATTACAGGTAAAATGAGCAGCGATTTTAAGGAAGAAGAATTCATTCTTGTATTGAAAAGCAAGAAATCAAAACGAATAGCAAAATCTATGAAAAACAGATCATTGTTCACTGAAGTTTCCCTGCGAGCAGAGATAAACTCGAATACTGAAACTGATAGCGAAGTTCTTATCCTGGAGCGAAGATTGAATGAAACGCTCGACATAATAGCTGATGCTTGCTTCGTGCAGGATTTAATACGAAAAGTCTCAGACTTAAATTTAGATCAAATAGTATCTTTTGGAATAGGAAACTTCTCATTTTTGGACAATTCTTTCTTTCAATTGACAGTTTTAGTTCAATTACAGAAATTTTTGAAGTTATCGAAGAAGTGCATTATATTCGATCCGGTGTTCACTAATATAGAAATTGCATTTTTGAAGCATATTGGATTTGAAGTTTTACTGATAAACGATGAGTGTTGTTTCAATGTTGGCGATCAAAAAACCTTATTTTTCATGATTCATTGTGGAACTGCCATGTATAACAACGTATTGTGGGCTAATTTTACTCCTGATTTATTGAAAAATGTCGCATTTTTGGGAAATTCATTCGAAGAAATTAAACAAGTTGCAGAACTGAACAAAAACGTTGATAACGATTCTTTCTATATAAGGAAATTGGATTCGTGTTATGAGGAAACAAAAATTGAGCCAGAAAAAAGTTCTGAACTGTTTTTAGCGTTTACTGGTACTAGCTTGCATATTGTCAATAGTGAAATTTTAAGCAGTAAATCTGGAAGTTTTTGGAGCCAAGAAAGTTTGGAAAGACCTAAGTACGAAAACTTCTCATCGATTATTTTGGACCAAGATGGAGATAGATTTGGTAAATGAGACACTTCAGAAGAAAGAAGCACGTGGATTCCAATATTAAATCAAATTCTAAGAACGAAATTGATTTCCAAGAAAGAATAAACAGCAAAAAAGGTCGTATTGAAGCCTGATAGTTTTGTGAAATGAAACCGATCTATTGGGTCATATTGAAAGCTGAGAAGTTGACAAATTTTCACGAAACAAGTGAACAAGTCTGGATTGATATAGACTGGCTTCAACATAATTTGATGGCAACGTGAACGAAAAAGGTGGCAACGTAAACTACAGGGTGTTTCAAATAAACTGTAATTTTATAAAACGCTATAACTTTTTTTTGAGAAGAGATGATTCACAATTTTTTCTGCACAAGATAGATAAGTGGCGGAGATTTGAATATCTGATAAAATTGTTTTATAAAAGATGCTGAAAGTGTCCGCCGTTTTGAGCAACACAGCTTTGTAATCTTTTCGTCAAATTTCTCAATGACTCTTCGATATTATCGGGCGTAATTGTATTTCGGGCATCTTCTACAGTTTGCATGAGTTCGTCAATACTTCGTGGATTCGCACCATGAACAATTTTCCCCGATGACCCCACAGCCAAAAATCCAGGGGATTCAGGTCCGGACTCTGAGGTGGCCAGGGTATAGCAGGGTATAGGGGTTCGTCTACTTATAATTCTGTCGTTGAACTTTGTCCCAAGCCAACTGAGTACGCGTCCCGTGCAGTGACATGTGGCTCCGTCTTGCATAAACCATATGCGCCTCAAGTTTCGTCGTTCTCGAAGGACTGGCCAGAGGTCGTGTTCTAGCATGTTCAGATACGAAAACTGGTTCAGTGTTATTGGTCGTTGCTGTTCGTCTACGAACCAAAACGGGCCAAGAACAGCTCCTTGAAGGAAACCCATCCAGCACATCACTTTCTTTTTGCCCTGGTACTTGCACTCCGCGTATTCTCTGGGGTTAACTAAACTCCATCTCCTATCGTTTTGAGAATTTGGAGAGCTGTCGAGCACCCACCATTTTTCGTCTGAGAAAATCACCCGTGATGTGAAATCTGCCGCTGTTTCAATCTTGCTCAAGCACCAGACACCAAAAGTAAGTCTCAAGCCGAAGTTCGTCTCTTTAATTTGGTGTGTTTTGAGCACTTTGTAGGGCTTCATTTTGGCAGCTCTCGCGACTCTCCAAGTTGTGGTGCGGCTCAACCCCAAATCAGCTGCTGCTTTAGTTATTGAATCTTTAGGATGAAAATCAAAGTGTCTTATAATACTGGCATTCGCTTCATCGTTTCCTGGTAATCCCGTTCCTTTTCGATGCTGCCCTTGAAATTTCGATAACCCGCCTCTTTCTTGGAACCGTTTCCACACTCTGATAAACTGCGTAAGTTGAAGTGTTGATGCAACGCGTGGGGTAATGTAATATTCATTGATATATCTTCTCCGAACTTCAGTTGGGGATTCATAAATTGCAAACAAACAAATGATCCGTTTTTCTTCGTTTACTGTGAAAACCATTTCGTTGTTTTCATTTACGTATGAACAAATAGTTTAAAAAATTTTTTGTTGCGTGGAAGCGTGAAATAGTTAGAAAATCGCGGGTATTCACTATCGAGTTCAATTCATCAAAGCAGTTTTTGAGTTTTATCAAATCTCCGCCTGTTCTACATAATATCACCGAATTTGAAGTCGAACTGATCAACAGTAATGAAATGAGAAGCTTTTATAACATTACAGTTTATTTGAAACACCCTGTAAAAACTTATTTAAACGGAATTTTAAAGGGACTGCAGTGATTAAAATGAATACATTTGATACCAATGGATTTTTCATAGTAAATTTTTTAGTATTTGATCGATAATATAGAAGCCATTTCTGTACGTTTTTCGAATCTATACTTATAAGATGGATCTTTTTGGGATAAAAATACCACTTCGCGAACAGATCCAGCTAGGAAAATGGTTTGAAAGTTCTGTTTCATTTCTCCCTAGCTGACTTGAACAAAAAATAATTTTTGTAAGTCGATTTAATCTATGAAATTAATAAGAATTCTTTCAAAGTTTTATCACTCAATAACTTGCTTTAAAAGCTAACTTTTTGCCAATCGATCCCAAATTTTTTCTTGCTCACTAGCTTGCTTGAAATGTTTTTTACTTAGGGAGGCCAAAATGTGTATTTAATAAGCGCACAATTTGCTTTGTGTAGGTTTCTGGAATCCAGAGACAAGTCTTTAAACATGTTAAATTTCGTCGGAACGATCAAAGAAAACGAATGAACAAAAGAAGAACAAAGAGAGCGTCCTTATTGCGGATTCCAATTATAATTCACAAAAAAAAACAGTTTGGCCTCGTAATGTTTTGCGAATAAATTCAGTCTATTAAAAAAATTTTCGAAAGTTTTGTTGCCCAATAGCTTGCTTGAAAAAACTCAGGCGCTTAAAACAACAACCTTCTCTTTGCACATTTTTTATCAAGTAAGATCAGAAAACTGAATTTAAACATGATTTTTGCTTGAAAGCATGCTTGAAAACTTGAAAGAATTTCGAAATACTTTACCTTTCATCGCTTGATGTGCTTGCTTGGAAAAGCTTAAACTCATGGCGAACCGAGTTGCGCTTTGAAATACCCTCTAATATATAAAATTGATTGCTTGATGAGCTTGCTGAAAAAAAACTATTGGTGAAAAAAACTGGAAATCGATTTTCTATTAAATAGTCAAGTAATTCGAAATTTCGTCGCTTGATCAGCTTTTGAGTACTTAACTTTTTGCTAGCAACGTTCCAGCTTAGTTAGAAAATTTCTGCGAATCCATTTGCACTATGAAACAAAATTTTCAGTTTCCATGATTGATAAGCTTGCTTATGATTTTTTTTTGCAAACATTATTATTATGGAAATTTTTTTGGGAGTTCGCCTCGCCTCCCCCCTCTTGAGATTCCTAAATCTGATTTTATTTAGTTGAAGAATTTTAGAAATTTGAATTTTTTAAATCTCAGAAAGCCGCTGGCTAACTGAAAATTGGTCTCCAGAAAAGCTTCGTACAATTAGTTTTAATTTAAAAAAAAAAACATTTATAAACGTTATCAATTAGTATGAGAAAAAACCAAAAAAATGTATGAAGTAGTTAGTATGAAGAAGGGCTGAAACAAATTTGAATGGTTTTGTCAAAAAACTGTAAGTAAGTGTTTTTTTTTCAGAGCTCAATGTCGACGACTTTGAGTCTTCTTTTTCGAAGATTTGCCTTAACTCGTGGAAAACGCCGACTTATAACTCCAAATAAACTAAAATTGAAAACGGCGTCAACTGATCTGATTTTAAACCCAGAGAAAAGTGAAAAACAGAATTCTTTTCTGCCAGCGAAACAAGAACAGCCTCTTAATGTCACGCATCTCTACAAAGGTCGAAAGGTCGTGACCTTTGACTCAAAAAGAAGCAGAACTCACATTGACAAACTGATTTTAATCAGAAGTTGCAGCAAAACGAGAACTGCTGAGGGCAAAATTATTTTAGAAGGCAAAAAATTAATCACCGATTCAATCGTTCAAGGCAAAGCCGAACCAATAGCGTTCTATTCCTGGAAAGCTGAGAACTTTCTAGAAATTCCACCTGCCGGGATTACGTCATCGGTTAATTTTTTTGTCCTTGAAAAAAGAGATTATGTAAGGTTGACTTTACTGGGTACACCGCAATCAGTTATAGCGTTGTGTCGAATTCCGAATGAAATTCCGAAGCCCGAAGGATCGTTTCCACTGCATTTGATTTGCGACGGAGTTCGCGACCCTGGAAATCTAGGTACCTTAATTCGAAGTGCGGCGGCTGTTGGCTGTGAAAGTGTGATTACAATGAAAGGCACTTGCGATCCATGGGACCCGAAAGTGGTTCGATCCGCGGTCGGGGCAAATTTTTTGATCCCGATTCAAACTTATGTTTCGTGGACAAAGATTCATGATTTTGTACCTGAAAATGTGAAGTTTTTATTCGCATCTTCTGATGAAAGCGATTTGAATTATGATGAAATTGATTGGGGGTTAGAAAGTTCGAAAAATTTGTTTCGTGGATTTTCTGAAATTGGAGCAAATTCAGAGATTCAGGATCATCTTTTAGATTCGCGTGAAAAAGACGATGATTCACTTAATTTGAGTTCAGATTTCGACGACTTAGATTTTGACGATTTTTCAAACAGTTCATGTGATTCAAATAATTCCAAAGACCAACAGTTTGTAAATGATTCGCCGAAAGAGTTAATCGATACGGCGAAATCAGATTTGAATTCTGATGATGCAGCAACGGCTCTCGTGGTTTCAAACGAAGGATGGGGTTTGTCTGAAGCTGCGTCGGAAGCGCTTGAAAAGTTCGGAGGACACTCCATACATGTTCCGATGAGCTCTAACGTGAATAGCTTGAATTGCAGTATAGCTGCATCTATTATTATGTGGGAACTGAGAAAGAAATATAAACTAAGAGAGGCTTTTAAAAATAAACCATTTTGACATGAAGACATGGAAAAAACTTGTTAAGTTGTGTTAAGTTCTGAAAACCGAATTAATTGAACATTATTGAGGTTAATTTAATTTATTGAACCTCATATTTTCAATTCAACCGTACTTTATCTCTCCTAAGTGACCCCACCGTAGAGTAGAGTCTTCCCCATTATGAATTTTCAAAGGGTTATCAAGCTGGTGCAATATGCGTTTCTATGCTGCAGATTTTATGTTGCGAGGAAATTATATGGTTGATCTATATTTTGCAGACTCTATACCAGCTCAAAATTTAGAACGCTTTTCCCTTTTGAGCTAGCTAAATTTCAGTATTTCAAGCTATCATCAAATATGTTGCCAGTTCAGTCGGTTCAGGTTTGTTAGTAAATCTATCACGGGGAGTTTTTTTTCTATTCTACATATTTTAAAAATAAAAGAAAGAAGTAATTGTCGCTTATAATAGGGCTTAATGATATTTTGTATAGTTCGTGATTATATAGGTCGTGAAAATTATTTTTTTCCCGGAAAAATTCCTAAAATTTGTTCACGCTCAAATTTGATTTTTACCGGTTTGACTTTTGAAAGCTGTTCAAATCCATTGCTTAAAGGGAGTAAAACACTTCATTATCGAGAATTTCGAGTTTCAGTTTCAAAATCTGGCTTTTATTTTTTTGAATTCCAGCGGAATAAACAAATTGCCTCCTGGTCCCGTTTTATCTGAAGAGAGTTTTTTTGCTTATCATAAATCTTGAAATTCAAAGACCTATAGATTGAGGGGATTGCTTCTTTAGGTTCTCTCGATCTATCTATTTATCTATCTATCTATCTTCTCCCTCTTAACGACGCCTCAAAGTGGTCCCTTGTGAAACGAATCTATCTAGAATCCTGAGAGGGTGAAATTGGTCTGTGCGGTACTAGGTCGCTTGCCCCCTGTGTACTGCCCTTGTGGTCGTATTGCTTGCAACCGCAAGAATTTCCAAAAGTTATAAATTTCAGATACATATAAGTCCAATTACAGATGGGTCTGAGCGGCCAGAATATAATCTAATTTATCTAATCGAAAATAAGGGTCCGCGATTTATCGAATACTGCAAATCAACTGAACCATTCTCCCTCTGTTGAGAATCCTATTTATCCAATTACGCTCCGTTTTTCCACTCAACTACTCAGATCAACCTGTTAAAACTAGTAGTGTCTCTACGGATCACCTTCCTTTGATGTACTTTAACTGATCTCGATAACTTGGCAACAATGTTCGCTGACAGCGAGAACCAGCAATTCTCTAACTCTGTACTAACTGTTCTTCCTTACTTTGAGAACCAACTATCTACAGTAACTGCAATAAATGTTCTCTAGCTATCAATGAGAACCCAATACTCTCACTAGAAACTAATTTTGTTCTGCCTTAGGGTTCTTCTCTCTGTTTTCTATTTGAATTATACTTCTAGCTATGATCGTCCCTACAAGTCCTGACATTTATACTGGTACCCTTGCGCAAGGTCAAACCGGAGTTTTCCCCTGACGACATTAGTTCTAAGTTCCAATTTCATTATAAGTACTCTATCTAAGTTTTGACTCCGGAGTTCAGTTGGGGCGGAGAAACGACTTCCGGAAATCCGGGTTGTTGACTAATCTTTTAGGGCATTTGTCAGCACTGCATCTCTGGAAATTTTAAATTCCCGGTCTACTACGGTTGCATGTGTTTCTTAATACAAGGATAATCGGCATTAATATTTTCGAGTTTCGACTCGCACGCAGGCAGGAAACCCAAAATTTTGTAATTCTAAATCCTAAAACATGGGCAACAGGTGGTTTTTGAGATCTAGTGGTATATTCATATCCTGAACTGTCCCTAAATTTTGATTGTCGTTGATTCGTTTACCATAGGCTAGTATTCACTTAACTGGTCCATTTAACTATCGTAGCGTACAATTTTTAAACCTCTATAAACGCAAAGGAATGCTGTCCAGAGCGAATTTGGTATTATTCGAAATAACAGTAGAAACTCAAATTCTACATGAACTCAGCGTCATGCTTGCTCCGATATTTGAAAGTTGAAAAAAGCTATTTTTTAATCCGTTTTTTACGGTTTCATTTTTCTCTTACATTTTTTAACCATCTGCTGGTTTCGTTTTTAATATTTAGTTACTTCGGACTAAAAGCTTAAAGAAGAATATTTATTGCTTGCGATGAACAAAATCAGCAAAATACTTGACATCTGAGGGAGTTGTTAAAGAGATCGCGATGCTCATCAGTGTCTTTTCTACGCTGCTTCGGATAAATAAAAATGGGTCGTCTACCGTGGTAATTGGGGAAAGATACATTTGAAATTGTTCGATAAACTTTTTTTGGTAGACTCAATGTTTGAAATTGTAAGATAGCAGTTTTTTGTGTGGAGGGCAAACAAGGAGTAGTGAGTTTTGCAATAACTAATTAATCAGTTCAATCAGCAGTGTCTTCAATGTAGCGACTGCAATTACAACTAACGCATTCGCTGAGAATTTGTTTGTTAAAACTTGCAAAATTTAATATTACAGTACTTGAAAAAAATCCTATGATCGATAAAATATTCATTGGTTTCAGTATATTTGTCTTATAACGAAATATAATCACTTCTAGAGTATTTCATTCCATTACAATTCACTTTGCTCAGTTTACAATCCTTTTTCTTGGGGAATTTTGTGTCCGCCCTTGTAAATTGTTTTTAATTTATGCTTTTCATAGACGTCATTGTTCCTGTCATAAATGAACACTGTTATAAAAGGGGAAGAAGTTTGTAGTCGGGTGTGTTTTAGTTTTACTTTTTTTGGTTTTCTACGGAAAAATCAGTGTGTATTTGAGTGTTCACAAAAATGAGCGTATCCAGACATTAGCGACCAAACAAAAATTGAATTTGCGATTTTAGTGATTAAATATGCATGACCTGGGGGAGATTTTCTTATGATACTTAAACATTGTCCTCAGCACAAATTTCGATTGCGCTTTGAAATCGGCTTGATTCTTGAAAATCCTAAATAAGCAGTCTCGAACCTCAAGCTCGAACCTTGATTCTAAAATGAGTAAGTATATGACTCTATTGTTGAGTTGGTTAGATATTCGTGGCGCATTTTGTCCCAATAAATTACATCTTCTAATGTTTTAGTCTAATTCATCACCATGCCTGATACCTTCAGGATAATCTAAGAAATCCAAAAGCTCCTTTGAAAGATTTTGTGCTTGAAGTGCGAATAAATTACATCTAATGTTTTAGTCTAATTCATCACCATGTCTGATACCTTCAGGATAATCAAAGAAATCCAAAAGCTCCTTTGAAAGATTTTGTGCTTGAAGTGCGAATAAATTACATCTAATGTTTTAGTCTAATTCATCACCATGTCTGTTACCTTCAGGATAATCTAAGAAATACAAAAGCTCCTTTGAAAGATTTTGTGCTTGAAGTGCGAATAAATTACATCTAATGTTTTAGTCTAATTCATCACCATGTCTGATACCTTCAGGATAATCTAAGAAATCCTAGAGCTCCTTTGAAAGATTTTGTGCTTGAAGTGCGAATAAATTACATCTAATGTTTTAGTCTAATTCATCACCATGTCTGATACCTTCAGGATAATCTAAGAAATCCTAAAGCTCCTTTGAAAGATTTTGTGCTTGAAGTGCGAATAAATTACATCTAATGTTTTAGTCTAATTCATCACCATTTCTGATACCTTCAGGATAATCTAAGAAATCCAAAAGCTCCTTTGAAAGATTTTGTGCTTGAATTGCGAATAAATTACATCTAATGTTTTAGTCTAATTCATCACCATGTCTGATACCTTCAGGATAATCTTAGAAATCCAAAAGCTCCTTTGAAAGATTTTGTGCTTGAAGTGCGAATAAATTACATCTAATGTTTTAGTCTAATTCATCACCACGTCTGATACCTTCAGGATAATCTAAGAAATCCAAAAGCTCCTTTGAAAGATTTTGTGCTTGAAGTTCGAATAAATTACATCTAATGTTTTAGTCTAATTCATCACCATGTCTGTTACATGCAGGATAATCTAAGAAATCCAAAAGCTCCTTTGAAAGATTTTGTGCTTGAAGTGCGAATAAATTACATCTAATGTTTTAGTCTATTCATCACCATGTCTGATACCTTCAGGATAATCTAAGAAATCCAAAAGCTCTTTGGAAAAATCTTGTGCTTGAAGTCCATATCTTGTGTCATTTTTGTAGTCGTTCTTGGAAGAAGGAACAGATGAAGTCTAAAACAAAAACACTTTCTGGAGTCAGTAATAGATTAAATTTTGGTTATCCATGATGGATTCCAGCCTCAGAATCACCCAATGTATATAAATTTTGCAAGTATATAAATTTGATCACACGTGGAATAAAAATATCGAATACTCCCAAAAAAAACGAAATAAAATATGGCTTTTGCACATATATTTGAACCAGCGAATAGTTCAACTAGTAATTAGAAAAACTTTACAGAAACAAAAATAAACATTTTTGAAATATTCTTTTTCAATTTTGGTCTTTTTATGCCATCACATTATGAAAGCTTGAGTTTTGATGCTAATGATGCAATCAATCACTCTCATCTGATTTTTATTTTTAAAAATGCGCCAAGAGCTTCATTAAAACATACGAAAAAAAACCAAAATATTCATATACCAATTGGAGGGAGAATTACCCCCATTTTAAAGTCACCAAACACTAGAGAGGTTCGTCAATTTGCATTTGTTTTAGGCATCAAAAATCACGAAAAACCGAATTGATCTGAAACGATCTAATCAAATCATTAAAAAGAGTCCAATAGAAGTAGTAGTCTAGAAGTTGTGAAAATCTTGGCTGTCGAAATTCTTACCGTTGTTAGCACTTGTTTATCAATTGCAGCAGTGGTGGTGCTGGCATTCCGTTTGGATTGTGATGGTATTCGTCTACTCGGGTGAGGACTGCTAAAGGGGGTTGAAGGGGGGAGGGGGAAGGTGTTTCTGAGGGGGGTGCTGATTAGGTTGCTTGGTGCGGACACAGTTGGACAGATGACCACACACATTCGAGCACAATTGATTATTCTTGAACTTCGCTCGAATTTTTCAACCCAACAACGTAAACCTGCTCACAACGAAAATACACAATTTTACAAAAGTAAACTCAAATTTGTTTATCTTAATTTTAACTATACCAAAAAACACTAACTGACAGTTGAAAAAGAGTAATGAGCGCAAGTAAACAGATTTTTGTTAGAATTTCAAAGAAAGAATACCCTTTAGGCTCTTCGAATTTCTATAAAAATATATGATTGGAATTTTTTTGATAAAATTAACCCCACTTGAGAAAACTGGATCGGCAGGAAAAATTTTTGTTCCGCTGGAAATCTAAAAATTAAATTCCTTTTTTGAAAGTAGAAGTCGTTCAATTTTTTCTTCACCATTTCCAGGTTCGTATTTGGAGAGTGCTATTTACGTAAATTTCAGCAGATGAATTTCAATTGAACTCAAAAATTGCATATATGGCTAAGTGCATTCATAAATGCAATAATTTGTATGAATGCACATCTTCAGTTATCAGAGCATTTTTAGATCTTTTCCTTAAAAAAAATCACCAACACCAATATAAGATTCTTCACTTTGTTCATTACTCCTAATGAAAAGTGTAAATTTTTGTGTTTGTTTTTAACTTGAATTACTTTTATTAGAACTACTGTTTGAAACATTCTACATTCCCTGATTGGACATTAATATTCTATTCTTTTTTTGAACTGCTCTGTAATTTAGTTTCTTTCCACAGTTACAAGTACCTAATTGTACGCATAATCTTTAGCGATCAAGTTTTTTAGATTTTGTACTTTTAGTCAAATCAAAGAGTCTCGTTGGGCTATGGTTGAGTGATGGATAAACTCCAGACTTGAAAGAAAATCTCATGCTTGAAGATCTTTGCCCCGAATTGTCTGATTCATCGACTAATTTTTCTGTAGGACGTGTAAATCACACTTCAACTACGGGACGGCAAAACACAACCGATATGTTGCCTGCAGTCACTACACTCAAAGGATTTAAAGTACGACTTGGCATCGCAGCAAAGGAAAACCAATGAACCAGAACAATGGCCATCTCGATGTTCAAGTATACGTGTAGATCCAATTCACTAGGGACTTCACCCTAAGTCAAAACTTCATGCCACTTCCGAACGAGATTGGAGCACTGTTCTCTACACAACAGAACCAATGATCACCACAGCCGATCAAAAATCACGATCCGATCTCCCGAAACAACCTTGAAAAATAGTCACAACCTAACAACAAAATCTTATCTAGGTCTCCAGCTTCCTGGAGCTTCCTATAACAATCCTTTTTCCTGAACGGAAAAAGAAAGATGCTCGCAACTTCAAAAAGGTCATCATCATCCATCCTCCATTGCAGTAGAACATTTAAGAACAAAAACTCTGTAAACCGCGGATGGGTGGAACCAGATCTAAACTAGACTTTATTATTGGACATGAATCTAATAATTTATCTCTATCAAATATTGAAACCTAACCAATCATACTCCATGAAACATACAACCCACTTATTTGTGAGCGCTGAAATTTTTTGTAATTTCAGCACCAGAGAGATTTGAATTTAACCTAGAACCTAGGTGCCTTCTCCAAAAAACCGACTCGTATTAAACGAGTATACACTAGATCTATTGAGACTAGGAGATATAAGAGTAAGATTAGGATTGGTATTAGACTGAGAAGTTGCACGAATCTATCCGCCCGAAAATAAGATAGCGTGACAAGCAGACGGTGTACGTTATCTGAAAAATATTCTTTGAGTACAACCAATCAGTCAAAACTCATCTGGTGCAACCAAAAGTCTCGAACAAAACCTTAACGAACTTAGATTAGAAACATTAACCAAAAACATTAGATTAGAATTAGACAAATACAACAATTTCAAAAAAATGTTTTATGACAAAAACTTAGTAGAGTTGTCTCTACGACTCAATTGATCAGAGTTAATTTTCCGCTTTATACGAGAATCACTCGGTATTGGAAGAAGACCTCGGACAAGAGACGATATACGATTAGGAAGAAATCTACCAATAGATTTCATGCTCGTACGCCAGAAGCCAGACCAAACTTTCGTATTTAGAAAACTACCAGCAGTAATTTAAATTTTTATTTACTGACAAAAGCTTTTGAAGAAAAATCTTCAACAATCTTCAACGGCGCTAAAACTAATGATTGTACAATAACGACCAATAATGACAATCCTAGTCGTTTTCCTCAAAAACCTGCAGTAAATTCGGAACATCTTGGAAAAAAGTATTTGTTAAGTATAAAAATACAAAAACTGATTAGTATAAAACAAATTGTAAGTATATTTAAATCATTCTTTCATCCCAGCTGCATCACCTTGAAATATTGTGATCATCAAGGCTATCCTTGGATCAAATAGAACAATTTTGTTCTCCCCCTGCCGAATTAATTAGTGCCTAACGACTTCAGACGTCGATTCACTACCCAACCCATATTCCAGACCCAGTAATAACAGAGTTTTTTCAAAGACTAATCATTCTTATTAAGATTAACAGTGAAGAACTTCGGTTACTCTTCCTTCACTTGAACCCCACCTCTCAACTGACACAAGATAGTACTTAAACTGGGTAAGTCCTGAAATAGTATCTAACGGACTACTTGTGTTCTAATTATACCTGAATTTGTGGATCGATTTACTATTCTCCAACCCTTGATCACAAATCATTGTCCCAAAGTAAGATTAGGCAAGTCTCTTTTAGCTTAGATTTAGCCACGAGAAAATTAAAAACATTCTCACCAATCGATAAATGCTTTTCTCTCCAACCCTACAAAACATGACCCAAGTTTAGCTGACTACGAAAAATTGTAAGAAACAACAGTTTAAATCATTAAAAATTACTAATCCAACTCTTGCATCCATCGTCGTAAACCTTATGTCAAGAGACAATTCAGGAAATAAACAAACAATTATATTACACGACTGTATAATTAACGACGAAAAATACGACCTTGTAATCACACCACACAAGCAGACAATAGGAAACATAAGAACAAAACGACAAACACTTAGGAAGGAAATTATAAGCATACAAAAACAAATTATTCGAAAATGATTTTCAAAACGAAGAAACGCAGTCTCAGAATCAGAAACAAGCAGAATACAAGAAGTCCACAATGTAAAAGAATCAATAAAAAAAAACATCAAATCGACAATCAACTATTTTTTTCTGACTCAGAAACTACATCACCATGATCAGTAAAAGGAAAACGAAGAATAAAAAAGTCATACACAAACAACTCAATATGTCTATACAATTGGAATCAATCTATAAAACACCTTGAAAATTACACGCTTACAGTAATCAAACACAAAAAACATTCGAAGTGAAGAAAAAAGCGAAGACAATTCCATTCTCCCATTTCAAATAAACCCAATAGAGCTAGAGGACAAGTACAATTTTGTCAGAAGTTAATCGCAAGTTTATTTGAAAAAGGAGATAGTCCATGTACAAAAGAATTTCCCGAATTGAAAATCAAAAGACAACTCCTTTACCACTTTCTAAAAGAAATTTGCAACCTTACACTACAATATGGAAAATATACAATAGCAATCAGTTCAGCAAATGCATTCCATAGCAACTATCTAATTCAAACAGATGACGTAGATATTGAAATTACAAAAAATTTCACAGAAAACATAGAAAATATACAACATCAAAACTCACAAACTGCGAATTAAAATTTCACCAAAGATGTACTCCCACTCATTTTTGGCTATTTATTTATATTAGAAACAACAGAATCTCGGAGATTCATCAGTTCAAACATCTCGACAAACAACGTATGACACGAAATTGGAAAATTTTCCGAATTTTTTAACACACTCCTTGAGAATCTAACAAGTAATGAAATCAGTTAATATGTTAAACACTTTTTTCGAAAAGTCTAAGCATGGTTCATAATTGATTATTTTCCTCATTATATTGACCTCATTTCACTAGCAAGAAAAAACTTAAGACCACAAAATACAGATGACGAAACTTTTTTTAGCAGAACAAACAGATTATGTTTCAACAGATCAGGTTCTCATGCATCAATCATTGAAATACCAACAGATATATCAAGCCAAGCAATTAACCCAATCTCTATTCACAGAGAAAATGTTAAATATACCCACTTATAGTTGGCGCAACAAGTTCAATTTTCAATTCATTCTTTCCCGATAGAGCAGGAAACAATAATTTAAATTCCACTTTCGAAGAACAAGACAATCTAAACAGAACTAGAAATCTTATTCAACAAGATATTCAAACCCCATCAAATTTCGTAACCGAAGAAATAAATGAAACAAAAACCACTACAGCACAACAAAGTATCTAACCTAATCATTCAAACCTCAGAATTCCAAAACCAAAAAATCCAATAATACAACAGGTAACACTACAATCTAAATAAAACCCTCTGTTGCTCCAAAGAACTCTTCTATGGATTACCTAACTCTTAGACCACTGACAAAACTATCACAAAATCAAAGAACATCACAAAGAAATAATTTTGCAGAACATGATTATAAATATGTATTTAGATCAAAAACAACAAAACCTTCAAGTACAAAAACACAAAGCTACTTATTTTCACAAAGTCAAATTAAACAACAACCAGCATCAAACTCAGTAAATCTCAATGATCATCCACAAACTTCAGCAGATCGAAGTAAAATTATCCGTTTTTTCAACAAAACAAAAATAACACAAATCCATGTCAGTCTAGAAATCAACATCCCTACCATACAGCTAATTATTTTCCATCATATGATAAAGATTATTATAATCAAATTTTTCCACGATTTTATCCAAGCCAAAGACCTCGTTCTTACAGCATAGATCAACCAGATATTTTGAACCAAAATTTTGAGGTGAACAAACACGACAACCTAAAAAAAATTCAACATCCCGTAGTAATTTTTTTTCAAATATCAAATCGAATCAAAACACAATATTATCAACCAAATTAAAAGCATTACGAAATTCGTAATTTTTACATACTTATTATTCACAACAAAATGAAAGAAAGAAAAAATCAACTTACGA